GTTACAAGCTCTTGGTGCATAAAGAATATCTGTAAAGTTGCAAAGACTGAAGTCTCAAATCCAAAGAGATATTCTTTATAAAAGTTGAGTCAGCCACGCCTACCTAAAATGGCTCATTCTAACACACCCCCACATGTCTATGTCACAATGTGGGAAGATTTGCATAACGCCGCCCAAACGTTCACGCAAAGAAAGAAGGCATAACTTGTATTCTCGCTGTAGTATTGTTGTTGCCGCCGCTGCCATGTCGTGGAGACGCTGTGTGTTTCGTTGTGAAAGCGAAACTACTTTGTTTGGTCTTCCAAAAGAGGACGATATCCGCTTCGTCATGCCTGGAGCTGATCCGTGCTGGTCGTGAGGAAATACATAAATTTTGCGCTGTGGATCGCCGGATAGGCTTTCACCGTGGACGAAGCGGAGTCCAGCCCGGGGTCGTCACATGTGGTTGCCGCAAACCCGCCGGACGCTCCTTCGTCGAATCCGCCGCCTCTGCTCACTAAGCCCGCCGGACTCTGCTCACTGTAGGCCGCTGTGTGTTTCGTTGTGAAAGCGTTGTGTTTGGTCTTCCAAAAGAGGACACGACTAGAAATCAGTGGTTAAGTTGTATTTACAACACTGTTCCAGAACAGTTTAACTCAAATATTCAGATGTGTGCAGCATATTTTATGGAGGACTGTTTCCAGAACCTGGAAGAGTAGACTACAATGCCGGCTGTTCTGACTCACAGACTGTAAGTAAGTTTTTTATATTTAAAGAATTTGCCACTGACGATTCAAACGCGAGTTTTGAGCAGTGTAGAGTAGCACTTGTTGTTTGTCATTTCTCCGATCACAAATGCAGACATGGTTTTATGTTTTATGGTTTTATGGTTTTATGGAGTTTAAACAGCAGGTATAACAGCTCAGTACTATGAGCAAGACAGAAAACACCGACAAATTATTTTATGCATTTTTTTTCCCCTTTTCTGTTACGAACATACAATTCATAAAGTGAAATAAAACTCAATGTGAAAATTGTGTGACTGCATGTGAAGGTGATTGTGATGATCTCAGTTATATGTAAGATGACTGCATTTCTCATGGATGATCTTGAACAGCCTAATGAACATCATACAACCAACTTCCTGATTCTGTACATTCATTCGCACAATTACGGCATACAATAGTTTCAGACCCTTACTTAGACCCTTCTCGTGAATATTAGCCATTTTAAAAGCTGGAAGATTAATTTCTTTTTCGAATATATAAGTCTAATGTAACTATATAATCTATGTTATATAGCTATAACATAAAAACAGTAAACAGTCAGCGGGATGAAAGGGTTGAAGGCCACTGAGGTTTTTTTTTGTGCTTGGTTGCTTAGTGGGTGGAAATTTCACACCTTCCTTTACTTACACCAGATGAGAGTTGCCCAACAACACCTCTCATTATACAGCTAGCATTCAATTGTTTTACAATAAAATTTGGGTGGGGACAAATATTTTTGGGAAATATAATTGAATACTGTGTGCACAAAGGGAACCGTTTTACCTTTATTAAGCCAACCAAATACAACCTTTGAAATCAAAAACAACTTCTAAATCAAATAAACAAATACTAAAGTTTAAACAAATTCTGAATCCTAAGTCATTCTTATGATCATTGTGTTGCTATTGTTTCTCTACCTTTTTGTCAGAAAAAGATTCTCATCATGTAATTTTTTAGATTAAAGGGTCTTAAAAAGCTCATAACAGCAGGAGAGGAAGAAGCTCTTCACCTACAAACTGAACACACATGCAGTGAACAAACACTCTCGTCTACAAGATGTTTGTCCACCAACAGATCAAACCACATTTCTGAAAGCCAACCGCAGCAGTTTCCAGTTTGACTCAGAAGCTGAACCTCAGTAAAACTGGTACTGTTTTAACATTGGTTCCACACACAGCAATTAAAAAATCAAATAAATATATGCAACCATTTCTCATATTCTTATTTTAGATTTACATAATCAAATGACACACTAAACACTCACTCTGCACTCAGAACTGAAAATAAAACTATTGCATTGCTCTATTCAGATATCTGTATATTCTCATGTTTTGCAGCTCATCTGCCTGTTCCTAACATTACCAGAGACTGTACTTCATCATCATCATCTTCATGTTCATTGGTGTGTTCAGTGGTGAATGTGGGTCATGTGACTCTCTCCTGGTACAAAGGAAACAGTTTATTGTCCAGCATCAGTGTGTCTGATCTCAGCATCAGTCTCTCTCTACCTCTGGAGGTGGAATATCAGGATAAAAACAGCTACAGCTGTGTGCTCAACAATCCCATCAGCAACCAGACCACACATCTGGACATCAGTCAACTCTGTCACACATGTGCAGGTATGTCAGCAGTTTATTAGTCGATCTCTGTCTTTTGTTGTAGATTATACTGACTCATTGACTTACATTAATGATTATTGTTACAGACTCTGCATCTCTGATAGTGTTGGTCTCTGCTGTTGCTGCTGGATCTCTGTTGATTGTAGCTACAGTCGGGATCTTCTGCATCTACAGAAGACACAGAAAAAGTGATCAAGAAGGCAAGTGTTACCTACTGCTTTTAAGAAGTATTCTAACAAATACTAATAAATATAGAATTTTTGATAATTATCACAATCATAATTTAAATGACAATTATTCTCATACTTATAAACTAATGTGCTTTTTTGCAATTTCTGAAGATTCAACTCATAAATGTCTATATCTATTTGACACAGAACACATCACTTTACTCATCTCAGTCATGCAAAAAACCTGATTCTTCACTACTTAGACTGCATCAAAACACAATGAAAATACAAACAGTACTGCAAATCTACATTATCTCAACAATTAAACAACATTTTATGGTAGTAATCATACACGTGTAAAGATGCAGCTCTGTTGGAGTACAAATGAATAGTTTTTATGACAATTGCAAAGAATGCAAATGCTTTGAACATCATGTCTGCATTTGATTTATTAATAATCTAAGGAATGTCTCTATAAGTTTAAAAATAAACACATACTGTCTTACGGATTTTTGTGTGTGGAACACACTTTTTTAAGAAGTTGCACTTTTAAATATTTAATTGCATACATTAATGATTTAATTTTGACAGCCCTAATATTAACACCACATACTGTACGTTATGAAGAAATGAATCCAGCTAAGATTGAGTTTTGTTGTTTTAATGCATCTATTGGTGTTGCTATTACTAAAACAGTTGAGACTTGTGATGAAGAGATCACTTATGCTGACCCCACATTCCACAAAAGAAAAGCACAGAAATCGGTAAGATAATTGATGTTATCTGTATAAATTCAGCAGTGAGTCTGAATTAGATGTGTGGGACTGTTTTTTTGTTGTTTTGTTACACACAACACCATATCCAATTTTTATAAAAGTCATAAGATCATCATTCAATGCCAGAAACACTCTAAAAACAGTAACTCTGAAAGAGTGAAGGATTTCTAAACTTCATCAACACTACACTTCAACTTACATGTTACGAACTCTTCACTCAGTAGAAATATCACATATTAGTGTATGAAATATAATTTATTATTGGAATGAACAAGGAAGCATTATTATCATCTCTGGCTTTAGTGCAGTTATTTCTCAATGAGTGAAGCAACACGCACCAAAAGAACAAGTGCAACTCTTCAGCACAATAGTGACCACAAAAACTCAACAACGCAGAAACTTAACTTAAATGATCATTTTTTTTACTGATGCACATGCTTCATGTAGTGCAAATACAAAAAGATTGTGTTGCATTTTACAAATTTAAGTGGACTGATCATGTTTGTTTTGAGTGGTGAACAGTGTTTGTTCATTTATGTTAAAATGTCTCACAGGAAACTGAAGCCTTCATGAAGTGAAAGTCACAATGATGCACGTTTCTTCTAGTTTGCACGGCAGTCCAAAAGCAAATGCATTTTTAAAATCAGTCAAACCTGCTTTATAACAGCTTTTTTTGTATCTCTGTCTGCTCAAAGGGTTACACTTTTTTCAGTATTATATACGCTCATCTCTTATTGTGTGTGTTTGTGTGAAATATGTATGTATATATATATATGTATACGTAATAATATATACATATCAAGCACTCTGAACAAATACAACACAGCCAAACATGTTTCGTGAACATAACTGAAGGAGACTAAACCTGACAACACAAACATCTATATTTACATTGATTCATTTAACAAGCACTTACCCAATACAACTTATAATTGAAATATATATAATGGACAGATAATGTGAAGTAATAAAGTAGTGAGCTTTACCTTAAGGCAACAGGAACTGAACAAAGAAAGTTAATGCACAAACTTGGCAGTAAAAAAAAGAAAGTGTAGCATTCCAAATGCTTAAAATATAATACTTTCCAAATTGCAACATGTGTTGAAACAAAATAGACGGAATAATGCATTTTTACACTTTTCAACTATAAAACATTTAGTACAAACCAGCAAACATCAGAATTGGTACCGAGTAGAACCACCTCTCTGTGAGTGTGACGACAATTTAAGTTTCTCTTTTTCCACTCCTCTCTTTCATTTCCCATCTAGGTTACCCAAATAATAATTAATGCTATGTGATGTCCCATTATCAGCAGTCATCAGTTAAAACCCATTCTGATAAGGGAGTTGAGTGTTTTACACCATTCTCCTGTAAGAAAACAAATGATCAGAATTGATGATTCAAATCAACATAGTGAAAGTAGCTGGTAAAATCACAAATTATAGATTATAAACAGATAATAGAAACAAAAACAAAAATGTAATCTGGCTAGAGGTAGAATGGACATTCAGTCTTCTGAACACAATAACATGTTACTGTAAATATTTTTTTTTCTGTAAATGTATCTCATTATAAGTTAATGTTCTTCAGGGAAATAATTTGAAGTCCAACAACAAATATTTATGTGTTTTATTAATACATATTTTAGTAAATGTCTTGGTGCTCTTTTTTGTTGTGCCTCATCATATGGTGAAGCCTTTTATGTTTAACCATGACTTGTTTGCTGATAAAACACACTTTTTATGAAATAGAAACAAGTGCATTTCATAATATTTACAAAATGTTGAATCCATTGGAAATTAATGCACAATAGTCTGATTGCCTAAAGCTTCTAATCATGGCTCATCACACCATAAATTAATCTAGAGATCCAGAAACATCATAATATTTTTGTTTACTAATACAATAACATGATATGACATATCAATTTAAAAGAGAATTCCACCCTATTCTTTTAACAGTATGTTTTTAATTGCTGTTTCTATGTAATACTTTCTGAATGAAACTACATACACTCTGAAATCTCAGACAGACTTATAATTGTGAGATTTGCAGATCTCACAGAAATCAATATGAAAATTCACAGGTTTTTTTTTTGTTGCAAAAAGAAAGACAGTGCACATATAGTATCTCACCTCATTGTAACTGTGCAGCCTAATGATGCCTGTTTCAACAACAACAAATTAAATTAAACACAATAATTAGGTTAATTGGAACAAATCTAATCTTGTCAAATTAGCTGTATGCAATGCTTGCCATTTCGTCCTGCTTGTGTAGATTTCCTGTGGCGACAGTAAATCACAGCAGCAGCTGCTGCAGCAGCCGTAAACAGCAGAACAACAACAACAGCATATATTCCTTCTTTAGCAGCTGAAGACACTATTGAATCTGGAACAGCTAAAGACAGACAAGCATTACTTCTAGAGATTGACTAATAATCAACTTTACCAATAGCTTTGACTGATAGTTACACTTTTCTAGGTCACCAGTATGATATTGATTTATTTCATAAATCTGGTGGATTTTTGATGAACAGCAGGTAAAACCGCAACAAGAGACAGCAGCGTTTACAGGACAGCTAACTAATATTATGCCTTTCTGTCATTACCAACAATAGACTTGAAAATGGTCAAATTCATAATGTAACAAAACTCAATGTGATAAGCATGTGAAGGTGACTGAGATGATCTCAGTTATATTTTAACACTGAACCAAAGCTCACTCTTTCTAACAGCCCACAATGAAATCCTTCACTGGGTTGATTTACATATTTCAAACGGTTTTCTAAAACTGCAAAGGAATGTGCAAGGAATGGCTAATGATACTCACCAGTGACAATAACGCTGAATATCTTGATGATACTGATTCTGTTGCTGCTGTTGATCTGTAGTTTATAAAGCCCAGAGTCTGTGATTGTGGTGTTTCTGACGGTCAGAGATCCAGACTGACTAACCTCCAGTCTGTCTCTGAATCTTCCATCAGGATCTTCACACTGACCATCTGTACAGGTTTTATTGGGATCTCCTGTGATTTCAGCGATGAGAGTGTCATTAAAATACCATTTCATAAAATAATTCAGGTTTTTAACTTCACCAGGACCTAAAGTAACAGATTCTCCCTCCTTCACTGACTTTCTCTTCATTTGATCTTGCTCAGGAGCATCTGAAACACAAACCAACAGCTGCTGGAAGATCTTTTTGAGGAGAACACAGTATATGAGTGAACTGTGGAATCCTCTTTACTTTGTCTAAAAACCAAAATGTATCCTAAATTTAGCTAATAAGCATTTTTTTATCAAATCCTCTGCACTTTGGATTCCTGATGAACTAAGAAAAATAAACTGAGTAACAGATGCATTTAAACAGACAATAATATAACTTTCATCTTCATCAGAAGACTAAATTATCCCATTAATAAATAATCAATGGAAAAGCAATGTTTTGAATCATACTGAAATAAAGATATATTTAAATATACAAATTCCACTTCAACAGTAAATGTGCGTTTGACAAAATTACCTGTATATGAACTAATATACAGATAAAGAGAAAACCACAATGTCACGGCAACATTTTAATGTACATGACTTGTTTTTACACATAATGACTTACCATATACAGCAAGAATGGAGATCTTTTCACTGATGCTGTTGCTGCTGATGATACGTAGACGATAAAGTCCAGAGTCTGTGGTTCTGATGTCTCTGATGGTCAGAGATCCAGTCTGATGATCCAGCTTCAGTCTCTCTCTGAATCTCTCAGTACCTTCTTCACACTGAACATCTGTACAGATAAAACTGAGATCTCCAGTGATTTGAGCTATACGAGCATCATTAAAATACCATCTAATCTTTTCTTGTTGATTTGTTTTAACATCAGTGTGTAGAGTGACTGAATCTCCCTCCATCACAAATGCTGACTCTTCTTCTGTATTAATACTGAAAAAAACTGAAGAAGAAATTAACAGTTATTATAAGCCGATCAAAATGACAGGAACATGCTGTGAAAAATGCCAAATGCTTCACCTTGAAAGTAGATGCGAGTTGACCCCCCAAATACATTTTTAGTTTAATAAAAGGAATAGATAAAAGGAATTCACATGTTCACGAGAGTACACAATGCATGCATGTGGTGCTGCTGACACAGCCTTGTTTGCAAGCAGAGGAATGCACACATATGCATCTTGGTACTTTGGTGAACGTGTGTTGCAGACTGACATGGAAGAGAATAAATTGTTTAATAAAGACATTACTCGTAGCTTCATAACATTATGGTTTAATCACTGATGTCACATGGACTATTTTAACGATGTCCTTACTAACTTTCTGGGCCTTGGTAGTTGTGTTGCTGTCTATGCAGGGACAGAAAGCTCTCTGATTCATCAAAAATATCTTAATTTGTGTTCCGAAGATGAATGAAGGTCTTACGGGTTTGGATCGACATGAGGGTGAGTAATTAAATGTTCATTTTTGGGGGGACTTTCCCTTTAATTTAGACCAAAACACAAATGCAGCTCTTTATGAACCAAAACTAACTGCTAAGACTAAAAACAAATCAACTTTAAATCTTACTGAACTAAATTAAAGCAATAAGTCTGTTAGGCCATGGCTTACAGTGATTTTAAAGCAGCCAAGTGTGTCGCTAAGCACAACGCAGAGCCGAGTGCCTCAAACTTCACAGGGCTAATTGCTTTCATAAAATAATTACTTCATATACCTGGCAAGATGTCATAAAACAAGAATATTATAATTTCATAATTTAAATTTTGTATAGCAATATAGTTCAGGAATGTTTAGAAGAGAGGCTACCAAGCAACACAGATGCGCAGCAGCATAAACGTAATGACTCACCATGCACAGTAACAATGAAGATCTTTACACTGTCTCCGCTGTTTCTTATCGTCTTTAGTTTATAAACTCCAGAGTCGGTGGTTGTGCTGTCTTTGATGGTCAGAGATCCAGTCTGAGGATTCAGCTTCAGTCTGTTTCTAAATCTCTTATCAGAATCTTTACACTGAACATCTGTACAACGATAACCGAGATCTCCACTGATTTCAGCAATGAGAATGTCATTAAAATACCATCTCAACTTTTTTTGTTTGTTCGTTTCAACACCAGAGGGTAAAGTCACCGATTCTCCCTCCATCACAGACTGTGACACTCCATAATATGTACAAACACCAGGCACACCTGAAAAATAAATTAAGTTATTATTAGTTAAACAAAATTACAAAGTGCTGTGAAAATGTTCTTCTACAGATAGTAGGTAAAGAAATATGTCTGGATTCATAATGTAACACATGCTAACAAACAGCAGAAGAACATTGATTCACACATTTACTCATTAGACAAGAGTCTCACGGATTGCCTTCACTAAATGAACAACACGCAACACACATCAAGATTCATAACACAGTTCTGCTCATATGTTTACATACCCTTTGCAAAATATGCAACATTTTAATCATTTAATCAAGTAAAGGCATCTTTTTATATTATTTATAGCACTGCCCTGACTAATCGACCTCACATAATAAATGTTCACATATTGATCACAAGACAAGATTGAACACAAATGAAAAAAATGTGCATACGCTTGATTCTTAATACTGCATGTCATTATCTGGATGGATGTTCTTTGTTTTGTGCTAGTTGTTCATGAGTCCCTGAGCATTTAAAATGCTCACTGTTCTTCATAAAAGTCCTCTGAAAAAGTGACGCTCTAACATTAGCACGCTCTATTCTATTTCTGTTCTATCTGCTTTTAATTATTCTTATTTACTCAAAAATATATATTTTAAAGGGGTCATCGGATGCAAAATTCACTTTTACATGTTGTTTGAAATGTGTCTTGGCAGTGTGTGTACACAACAGACAATGATAAAAATCCACCCAGAGTTTTTTTTTTTTTTTTTCCAATCCCGATAAATGATAACCCCTTCCTCAAATCAAGCCATTCACAGATTCTTGGCTGTGTGACGTCACACGTACCCAAAATTTTAGTAGAATTATTAAATTAAATAAAGTGACAAGAAAAAGAAAGTTCAAAATTACAAACTGACAAAAGTGTAAACAGAAAGAGAATTTAACAGAATGAGGACTGGGCAAGGACTAAACGAGAGGGTGTGTGGCAAGGGAAAATGAGGAGGCAGGACAAGAGGAGCACATGACCAAAACAAACAAAGGGAAAAGGTGTGTGGTCCATTCTTCATACATGGATTATGCAGATTTTATTGTTGATGATTTGACATAATCCAGGATTGTTAGGTTCTTCAATGCTCATCCTGGAGTTGATGTCATAGTAACGGGTCCATTAGCTTAAACCTGCTCGGGAGCATCTTATTTCATGTAAACAGGATTAGATTGTATCGTTTTAAATGAAAGTGATACTGAAAGTCTGTCCCAGCCACTGCTGCTTTCTTACAAAAGTACCTTATTAAACCAGGAAAACATTTTTTTTTATAAAGAAATAAGAAATAATAATTTTGCTTGCTGGGCTGTTTTCTTGATTTTAATTATACAATGTCATTACGTTGCTGTCTTGCCGCCAGCCAATCACTGCATTGCTGATCATGGTTTTGAGTATCGATGTACGTGCCTTTTCCAATGAACATGTCAACACGGAGTAATCTCAGACAACTTAATCCAGATATTTCAATTTAATCCACTAACTTGTTTGAAGAACAAAATTAGCCAGTGATCAGTTACACTGAAAATAAATTCTGGCTACGCCCCTGGTTATCAGGATTAAAACTGAACGCACAGGCACTCCACGGCAAGATTTGAGGAACACTGTTGTATACTTTTAAAAGTAACTTTCCCCAACACTGCTTTTTGCTATTATTGAAATCGATTTTTGGACACTGTATTATTATTATTATTACAATGCATATTATTGTGCATGTATGTAGCCTGTAGTATTTGCATAGCACATTCTTTGGGTTCATCGTTACGGCTATGGAAGAGAGAGTTGAACAATTGAAATGTCTTACCAGCCACGAAGAATGCACACAATGTGATCGAAATACAGGCCGTCATTTTCAACACTTTTCCAAGACAAAATGAACGCAGTTTCTATGGAAATAAGTGTTTTGTCCCTATGCTGTTGTACCTCAAAAAACATAAACAATGAAAGTGAAAGTAATATTTCCAAGACAAGTAGGCTAACTAAAGCTTAGACATATGTCAAAAATAACATTTCACATTCAACTCGAAGCATCATTCGTCTTTTCCCTTTGTTGTTAAAATTGTGTGGCGAGTATTGCCGAGGACTTTGCTGACCGAAAGAAAAACAAAACAAAACAATCTCCTCTGTCAGAATTACCGTAATCATCATTATAAACGCGCACACAGTTTTGCCGCCACTGGCCGGAGTTCAGGACTCTCTGTCACAATTTTAAGGTATCTAATGGTCATTTTAAAAGTACCTGTTTCAAGATGCAGCGGTTTGTTTCGTTCATTTACGTTACTTCATGGTTTGCCCTTGTGGATGTGTCCTGTCTGTGGATGTGTCTGTCTGTGGATGTGTCCTGTCTGTGAATGTGTCCTGTCTGTGGATGTGTCCTGTCTGTGAATGTGTCCTGTCTGTGGATGTGTGAGTTGTCTCGTTTTCTTGTTGTAGCCCACATGTGCTATAGTCACTGGGGTCCAAACTGTCCTGGAGAGTTTAACTCCAGCTGAATTAAAAACTGCGGCTGCGTCTGAGACCGCATACTCTCAGAGTAGGTATACTTAATTTCAGTAAGTCAAAAATCAACTGAATTGTTCTTACTTAAGAAGCGCTAGTGCTGCGTTCAAGTCCTCCTGGGACATTCGTACTTATGAGTTGACAAGTCGTAATTACGACGTCAGGTGCGTTCAAGTCAGTTTAGTCGGCACAAGATGGCGGTGTACCCTCTTTTAATAAATTACAAGAAAATACAACAGGGTCTGTTAACTCTGCTTGTAGAAAATGAAGAGCAAAGAATTCGCATCAGGTGTGTTTTGCGTTTTTAATAATTTTTTTTAGACCAGGATCCCACTATAACTGATTTTCAGCATCAACAAATGCTAAAATACAGAGATTTAAAAAAGCTGTTAGCTAAATGCAGCATGCAACATGGCAAATCAAAAGGTTTTTCCCCTATAGGTGCAAAAATTATAGCATTTTTTTTACTTGGATTTCATTAACTAGCTGCGTAACAAGAACATGACCAATTTACGTTTATAAGACAACTAAACTATCAATTTAAACAAAAATTTACAGTCAACTACAAACGTTGCATCCATCGATTCCGCCATGTTTCTCATTGACACGCCCCCAACTCGGAAACTCGGGGCGTAAGAAAATTTCGAGTTTCCCCACTCGTAATAACGACTTTCATGTGCATTCAACTCGTAAATACGATCTATCCGACATGACTTGAACGCACCATAAACCCACTTACTAGTGATGTTATGTTCAACACCGAAGCTTCGAAGCTTGTAAAAAAAAAAAAAAACAAAAAAAAAAAACACATTTCACATTGAAGCACTGTATCGGAGCTTGATTCGTTTTGAGAAAAGCATGTGTGATCTATGACGTCCGAAGCTTCGTTCGCCTGAACAGTATCTGGTTCAAACGAAGCGAACCTCAACACCGCTTCCTTTACATTATATTACATTATAATGTGTTAGCATTTTGTTGTTTTTTTATCGTAATTTATATATTGAGCTCAAAAATGAACTTTGGCCATGAAATATCAGTCTAAGAACTGAGGCAGAGTTAAAATAAAAAGATCATAGATTTAATGTATGAATTTATGTTTTATTTATTTTACTTATTTTAGTGCCAGTACACCGACACAAATGAATGACTTTGACAATAAACATTATTTATATAAAAGATAATAAAACAAAAAATCAGTTGTAGAACCAGATGTGAAACCACTGGCTGTAATGGAACATAACACTTTGGAAGGTGTTATTTATTTTTATGACCACTAGATGGCCACAGCATAAACCCTTTTTAAAAAGCTTCGAGCAATGAACCTTTTCCCGATACAATTGTGATGAAAGCTTCACTGGTTCAGAACGCTTCAC